CTTCGACTTTCGATCCCACCCGAGCATCGACCTGGATAACCTCCGTTTCATCCTCGACTTTAGACCTCGACGGGGGGGGGGGGCAGAAGGGAGGAGGCAGGAGGCAGGAGGGAGATTGATTGATTGAGCAAGCCCCACACACAAGTTACCATATGGCATGGGCCTCTACAGGAAGGAGAGCCATGCGGTCATTTGGGGGAAAGGTCGGACCTACTCGCATTCGTATGGAGGGAAGGGGGAAAGGTGACCGTACTGCATGAAGGTGAGCTGTATCCAGCTAGCGTCAGCGATTCTCTGTTTCTTATTCCGTTGGGTACACCACACATGCATTCTCCTCTCCATCCAATCCATCGCAAAGGCGCACCACTTTTCCTGATTGTCACATACACACACGTCCAGTCAGCACCGTAGAATAATATAGGATGAATGTCCCCTGATTCCCCATGGCGACCTTCATGGTGTTCACGTACACCTGATGTTTGATCATCATGACTTGCGGCGGAAGACGATTTGGGGAACGAACGCGCATGCGGGCCACGTGCCCTGCGGGAGCGAAGCAAGATCTGATAGTCCCACGTCCATCCACACATTGTGTCTCTCGATGGTATCCCAAATCTTGATATTGGCGCGGATCTGGAAATCTCTGACCTCCTCCTCCTCCTCCTCCTCCTCATGCTCCTCGAGGGCCTTCATCAGTCCTGGCTTATGTCTCAACATTCGACAACGCATCGCCCTGATCATTCGAAGGCACCTCTTCGCGGAAAACAGCGGGCCGCCACAGAAACAAATGCTGGACCAGATCCCCCGAGCAGCTGCAATACGCGCGCAAGCTTCCCGTGCAGGGCAGCACACAATGCGGTCCACTGTTTTCTGCAGGAGGCCCACCCCCATAATCAGAATTTTCTCTACGCCGTTGACGCATTGCGAAGAGTTGAGTCAGGATTCTAACGACACCCGCAAAAATAAAACAATTGTCGGCGATGAACTCGATGGGCAACCGTTTGAAGCCCTTCGGGATCTTGCGCTTCCTGGAGCCCTTGGATCCCCGAGCGCAGCAAATCCTTTCCGCCCAGAAGGAAGCCCCATTGGGCGTTCTTACATGTCCCCACGAAAGTACCCGCAGCGCCGCCCAGGTTGCGAGTATACCCCTCGGCGTTTCGGGGCCAACCTGCGGCATAGAGCGGGTCCTCGAATACCTTCCGCGGGGCCCCAAATACTTCGTTGCGCGCCGCGCGAATGCGCGCAGCCGTCACAATCCGAGGAACAATCCGTCGAACGTGACTGCGCGCCCAATGGTCGTGGTCGGCCACGTCGAAGGCCTCGCGAAGGCCCCCGAATCCGAAAAACAGCGGCTCGGTAAACTCGCTCGCTCGTTGCGCGGGCATTCTCGTCACAGATTCAATTCCGTTTACCTAATATTGTCTCCGATTGGCAAAATGGCACGCCGTCAACGGTCTGTCGCGAAGCCCGGACAGGTGACCCAGGACCATAGAAAACGACTCAAACCACACCAGACGCAAAGCGTTCGGTCCGCATTCCTCGAGTTGCTCGGCCCCGCGCAACATGACCCCCAGTGCAGCCCAGCGCCCACCGCAGATCGGTCGCGCGCCCTCAACCGGGCGACTCAAGACCCTCAGCACAAACGTCTCGACCAGAATGGACTCGCGGACGGCTGCGCGTCGGCGCCCGGCACATCGCCCCGCGGGCCCGTCTCCCCCACGCGCCCTCTACAAGAGCGCTCGCTCAAGAGCAGCGCCGGCTCGCGGCAACCTGCACGCGAGCTCGCGGCCATCCCCGGCGCGCCGCGTCGGGCACGTGCGCAACCCAAGGGCCAGGGAAAACTGGCAAATGAAACTGGCGCACCGGCCCCCGCGCCGCGCCGCGACCCGCTGCAGGCGCGCCGCCCACCCCCCCCTCCACGGCCATAACCTGCCCCGCGCGAGCTTATAGTGCCTGAAATTGCTGGGAGGGAAGCGAATGGAAACAGCGCTGCCTGGCAAGATTGTCGGGCGCATGACGCGTTCGATCGTCTCCTACCTCGCGCGTCAACGCCTGTTCGCGATCGAGGAAAACTTCGGGGTCGTGGCAGCTCGTCTCTGGGTGAGTGAATAGCCTCGGCAGACCTCATTTGCGGACTCCGTGATCGACCCCCCCCCCCAAAGATGGCAGCAGGCTTCACGTGCTGGGGCGCGACGCTCCAGCGCAAGGGCTATCTGGCGTCGCAGAGCGGAGTCGGATTCCTGCCGTGCCGCCGCGGAACTCTCGGACCCGAAAAATGCAAATTGGGCAAGTCGGCCCCGCCGCAGCCCCTCGCGCAGACACAGCGGCGCAACCGTGCGACCTCGTCCACGTCGGGGCCCAGCCGGCACGATATGCCAAAGCGTTGCGAGGTCTGGGCATAAAAGCAGACGGCGCGCAAGCAAACGAAGCGCAGCCCGATCGCACGTCGCCGCATCGGTCCGGGGAAGCAGCGCGGAGAACATGAGACTCCTCCACGGGTAGGTCGCGAACGCACAGGCGAGCAGGGAGAGAGCCCAGGATGTCCAAGGAGCGAGCACAGGATCCGCGCGGGTCGCCGCTCGCGTCTGCCGCGGGCACCCACGCGAGCACACGCGCGCGCGCCCCACTCTGGCCAGACAAAATCCGCTGCTCGTCGCCCAAGACCCCCACGACCCTTCGAGACGTCCAACATCGTGGACTCCCTTCACGCGCGACCACACATGAGCATGCACAGTCGTCATCAGCCCGTCACGCGCGGAGGCATTTAAAGCCGAGGGCGCCGAGAACGCAGGAAGGGCCCAAAGCGCATCAATCACGGTGCCCGGAGAAACGCTCTTGCAAGACCCGCTGGCCTGAGACAGCTGCCAGCCAGCTGCATGCCCCCACGCACCCCAAATCCAACGCGCCCGGCACCGCACCGCCCCAAGCCCGAAAGCACGGCCCATCGCAGCTAGCGTCGGCGGAGGAGGGGGGGGCGAGGAGCAACGAAAACCCTCAAAAACAACGGCGCTGCGCGGCTCTCCCTTTTCTTAGCTTACAACGTCTGTCCGCGAACTTCTTCGAACGGAATGCGGCGCCGCGGTCCAGGGCGTCCACAATCCGAGAGCCCCATCACGCAACCACCCCATGGGGAGGAGGTCGGTCATCATCCACCTCAACGGTTTTGCAGCACGCGAACTTCGGACTCGGAGCCCCGAAAGCGCGGTAAAGAATTGGCAGGCGGGCTCTCTTGGACGCAGCGGCGCTCCGAGTCCCGACGGAGAAAGAAGACTCGAGCATACTGCGAGGTACTAATACGCTGTCAACGTGGCAGGTTTCAACCTGATAGTCGCAATGGCAAGTGCGCTGACCCACAAAACTCCCAGTCGCATGAAACACGTTGACAAAGAAACCTCGTCCAACGATGCGGCCTTTTCCAACCAGCTCTTCCTGCGACGCGCGGTCCGACGTGTCTGGCCCGAATACGCCATTTCCTGGGGAGCTCTTGGAACCGCGTGGCCAGTGGCCCCGCGATCGCTGCGGCCTTGCAACTCGTCAACCCCCTTATATAAGACAAAAAACATCGCGCGAATCTGGAGGCTTGAGGCGGCCGCGCATTAGCAAGAGACTCAGAAAAAAAGGCACGAGAGAACAACGGCAGAGCTAGAAAATGCCGGGGGATCTGAAATCTTCCTCTAATCGATGCAGACACTCGGCAGCGCCGCGACTTGGAACGCCCCGAGCGCTTCAACCCACAATCACGAGATCCGCCCTGGACTCGACGCGAGCTCTGGCGGCGCTGGCCACCTGAGACCTGGAGACACAGAAACCCAATCGGGGTGTCATACTTACTTCGGGCAAGCACCCCTTCACACTGAAGGCCCTGCACGCGGCCGTCAGGACTAAGGGAATGCATGGAGCGGCACGGAGCACGCGCGAGGGAAGCGCGCATATAGAGGCGGAGAGGAGCGGAATTGCCAAAATTGGGCACGCGCCTGCGCAAAAGAGCTGCACTGCCCATACTCTTCGAAGAGTCGGCTGCCAGCTCGAGCGCCTCCTCGCTGAGGCTCGGGTCGAAGTAGCGGAGACCCTCGATCACCGTCTTGCGCGCCTGTCTGCATGGACGAGCATGCACCCCCCCTCGGCATTCGTCGATGGAGTGGCAGAAATGGCGGCAACCTGGGCGTGTAGCGTGTGGTGAACGAGTCTGCTCATCATGTTTACTCGGCATACTCTGGCCATATCGTTTTCAACCGACACGTGCTTGCTAGATGTAACCTCGATCTTGCACGTCCCGTGAAGGAGCCGACGGAACGTCTGACGCCCGGTAAAAAAAACACTGATGAAATATAGGACCAGTACCACACGGCGCCGCCAGCAGAACCCGTGCCGCTACCGACGCCACCCATCTCCACGAGCTGTCCGCCCCTCGAAAGAAAGAGAGAGAGAGAGAGGGACCAGCTTCCCGCTCACCACTTTCAACTCCGATCCGTTTATCTCGGCACTGCGGTTGACCGTGTCGATCTTGGCGCTCAGCGGGGTGATGTGCGCCATGGGCACAGAATTCGTCTGGGCCGACATTGCACGTAAAAGTCAAGAAGCTATCCTTGAGACCTTCACTCGGGGGTGCTATGACATGTGGGCGTTTGTCACAAACGCCGACCTCCTTTCCAACGTCAGCGATGAAGTCACGGTCGTCGTCAAACCATGGCATTGCCGACAGAATGGCGGGCCTGAAACAGGGACAAGAAAAACGGACGGAGGAGCTAGAGTGTGGGCGAAGGGAACGGATGCCTCGGTCAGGCTACCGTGCGCTGAACGGACGTCTGCTTTTGCTTGAAAAGATGCCTTGATCCAGAATGGGAGGAAGCAGGGGGGAGGAGGGAGGGAGGAGGAGGAGGAGGAGGAGGAGGAGGAGGAGGAGGAACAGGAGGAGGAGGGGAGAAGGAGAAGGAGGAGGACGACGACGAAAAGGACGGGGAGAAGGAGGAGGGAGGAGAGGAGGACAAGGAGGACGAGGAGGAGGAGGAGGAAGAGGAGGAGGAGGTGGAGGAGGAGGAGGCCGACGAGGAGGAGGAGGAGGAGGAGGACGACGACGACGACGACGACAAGGACGGGGAGGAGGAGAAGGAGGAGGAAGGGAAGGGGTCCTCGATGCTCATCGACCCTCGACCCTCGATCCTCCTCGACCCTCCTCGATCCCTTCGGGGCGGGGCCGGCGCGCGCCTCCGCACACAAGGCCTCGGACGTCGAGGGATCTGGGGCCGGCGGGGGCTGCGCTGGCTCCTGCCGGCACCGAGGGGCGAAGATATCACGGTGGCGACTCTCAAGAAAGAAGGGACGAGGAGGAGGAGGAGGAGGAGGAGGATTAGGAAAAGGACGGGGAGGAGGACAAGGAGAAGGGAAAGGAGGAGGAGGAGGAGGAGGAGGAGGAGGAGGAGGGTACTGAGGGTACTGACTACGCGGGCGCCACGTGGCGCCCCTGGCCGCTCCGCCACGAATTAATCCTCGGATTAATTCAGACACCTCAGGAGCTCTCTGACGGGACCTCTCCCACCGCACAAGCTCCTCAGGCGAGGGGAAGCCATGCAACTTAGCTACACTGGAAGGCATAGCAGTCTGCTGGCCTGCTTCGCCTCCCCGGCGACGCGGGGTCCCACACTCCCCGCCGACGCCTGGGGCTCGACCCACCCTTCATCACCTACAGAATCGCTGCTAGGAGCAGCAGCAGCAGGAGCAGGGGCAGGCTCAAGGAGAGGCCCCCGAACAGCACGCATCTGAAGGGTCGGCCCATGAGCCGCCCCGACTCGAGCATTCCCAAGGGTGTGCCCTGGGAACAGACCTCGGCGGAGCTTGGACCTCTGGGTCTTGAGCCCAGGATGACCCGCTCCCTTACACTCTCCCTGCAGTCCCCGAGCGTTGGAATGCGCTGAGGCACCGCAGATCTTGCATAATAATATTGGCGACAGTTCCTGGCCTTGATCTGATGCGACGCTGGCCTGCACAACACTGTGCCCTCGCAAAACCCAAGGTACACCTGTGGCAGCAACAAAGCCAACGTCGACACCATGGGGTTCTTCCGTACCAGCAGGGGAGGAGGAAGGACTCGGAGCAGAGGAGGGACCAGTCTCATTCCCCTCGGCCACGGACCAGTCTCCAAACGGCGCCCTACCTTCCTCCAGACAGGCACGACTTAGATACTGGGGCAAATCTTCATCTAGCACGATGTCCCCTGTACCAGAAAGATCGACAGAATCTGGCTGCTCTAACTCTCCGAAAAACTCCTGACACCTGCTCTGCCAGAGCACTATGTCTGAGGCAATTCTTTCACACCCCGAGACAAAGTCAATATGGTCTCTAGACACATTCCAAAGCTTAGCTCCAGCCTTAGCCCACTTGTCAGCCATGGCACTGCCCTTGATGAGCCACGCATCATGATCCGACCTAGAGTCCCTTAAACTCCTGTGGGCAGCTACCTTGACAATCGAGGCCTTCCTACCTAAATCGGACCGCCAGGTCCTCCACATGTGCGCACATGCATTAGAACTGGCCAAGGCAACACTGGAGTCGGTAGCACAACCGAAGGAAGCAGCACAATCGGTGTGCACAACTAAGGGATCATCAACAGACCACTCAGCAAACAGAGAGAGCATATGGAAAGCCCAGTCCTGCCCGTCGCGGGCGGACTGCGAAGGCGCCTGGTGGAGCGGCACTGTGCCGCACATGGCTCCGACGAGCTCTCCAGCACGATTGACCTGAATCACGGCCCAGCCTGCCCGACTCAGTCCCTGAAGATGTCTGTGGGAAGCAGAACCGTCAACAAACACGGGGCCCGAGAACCTCCAACCAAGAAAAACACCGACAAACCGCACTCGATGTTCTTCAGGGGCTTCCGTCACGGTGAGGCAAAAAGAAGGCGAGGGGAAGAGACAACGCGCCATCATCTCTGCAGCTTCCTCACCAAGGCTTCGCGCATACATGGCTGCCTGCATTACATGGGTCGGGCATTGCTCGCGACGAGGAACAGCGCTCCGAGGGCAGTCATAGAATCCATGATGAAGCGCGCCTCGCATGCCACAGTGCAAACACCGATCATCCACCGCCTTACAGTGCGCACGCAGGCGCGCCTGGGGCCAGTGTGATCCTCCTACCAGACTTCTGATAGCAGCTGCTCGGTGCACACTCCATCGCTCCGAGTAGTCCTGCTCGAGCAGCTTGCCGACAGGTCCCCCGTGCAATGGGCGAACCCAGGGCGCCTTCAAACGTTTCAAAGCGTCGACGTCAGACGCCTGAAGGGCCAGGGGCCGAATCAAATCCACGAAAAAGCCAAGCGAAAAATCAAGAATCCTGAAGTCTCCGAGTCGGTGATGCCTCAGACTCTCTACCGCTGGCAACTGGCATCCAATCCTGGCGAGCGAAAGGACAGCCGCCTGAGCTGGATCTACTACCTGAGCCCAAGGCCTATCTTTGAAGAGGAGCGGCTGCGCTTCCTCGAGACACGCCCGAAGCGGACCAATGCCTGGCATACAGGAATGTACACTCAAAGCCCAATGCTTGACTACATCACAGACATGCACGATCCAAGGATCCCTGGTGGACCCTCGCTGCGTCGACCTCAGACGAAGCGCCACAGAGGTTCCTGGAGGGACTCCCTTCTGCACGCAACGAAGCAAGTCGCAAGGCGGCGAGCTTCGTGTCAGCGATGCCAGTGACCGCCGCCCCCCACATCGCCGTCGCCGTAGGGGACCCCCTCATTATAGTGCCGACACTAGCTCCTGCCTGCCTGAGCGGAAAAAAAAAAAAAAAAAAAAAAAAAAAAAAAAAAAAAAAAAAAAAAAAAAAAAAAAAAAAAAAAAAAAAAAAAAAAAAAAAAAAAAAAAAAAAAAAAAAAAAAAAACACGCTTTGAAACCGATGACGCTTTGGCCAGACGTTTGTTCTGCTCTTGAACACTCCTCGAAGCGCCATCAGTGGCATCCGTGCCCAAACACCTACTGTTGCGAAGCTTCTGCTCATGGCTTAGGCTCCATCTCTCATTTAGCTCCGAATCCAGCTCCGCTGAACTGGTCATATAACCCGTCTTGTCCCAGTTAACAACACGTTGCCTTTGCTGAAGGGACTCTACTAATTCGGACATGGCTTGTGGAAGCTGCTCGAGAACATTTTGCCTGTCTCCAATCGCCTGAAGCAGGAAGTCATCTACTAGGTTTTGAAACCTCACCATAGGAAACTTAGCCTTAAGCGTGACAATCACTGTATGCACTAGAAGCTTTGACAACGCTAATGCACAGCTGCAGCCTGCTGCCACAGTACCATTGGCTCGGACCTTGTCCGAGTTGAAAGACTTCCACATGGCTCGCCTGGGCAATCTATACCCTGCGCAGAGACACTTGAGGAGCCTAACTGGGAACCCCGTGACAAGGGCCTCTCGAAGAAGATCTGCATGGGAAATGTGTTCATAATACTTCGACAGATCTAAAACACCGCTGGCAGCCGAAAATCCTTTGAGTCTGGCGAACCGCTGCACAATGTTGTGGACATGCCCTGCTCTGTCGCAGGTCTGTCCAGAAACTCCCCAGAAGGAGGCACTGTTTAGAAGCAATTCCCAATTCCTAACAACAGGCTGCCTGAGCCTAGACCAAATACGCCCCCAGATGGAAGCCAGCACAATGGGCCTCACCCCCGTGGACGGCGCGGGTTTGCCCAGGAAAAAAAATGAGGAGGGTCCAGAGCTCAAGATCCTCAGGATCCGAATCCCATTGCATAAGAATGTCCAGGAACGCCTGCTTTTACGAATCCGGCAACCAGAGAACCTGCCTCGGGTGGAGGCGGCCCCACCCCAGTCCGCAGGACCCCGAGTAGGAAGACAGCGCAGAATTCAGCTGCGAGATGATGACCCTAGGCAGCTCAACCCAAAGGTCCAGACCCCCAGAGGTCAGGAACCCCTGGTCGGAAACAGCACCACAGGAAGCCCCCGAAGGCCTCACAGGCAGGGCCCCAGGACACCAGGACCTCGGGCGGGGTTCACCGTCTCTCCTAGGAGCATTCCAAAGCGGCTCCCACTGCTCTAGAAGCGTGTCCTCTGCCTTTTGCCCCGAGACAGGCAGCGGCGGCGCAAGCTCCGTGGCCCCCGAAAAAATCTGCGCGCCAGGCAGAGGCTCTCGAACATAGGCGTAAGCAGCCCCCCCCCCCTGATTCTTGACGGCCTCCCTGGCCCAAGCCCCCCAGGCTTTGGCGCCGGCCGCCCTGGCCTTCGCTTGGAGGTGAGAGAGGTGACCCCTCAACCCAAGGAGGAAGGAGAGAGCCTCGTCCCCTCCATCAGAGAGCAGCCTCACTAGGGCACTCCTGGGCGCGCGCTGCCACCTCTCGAGCGGCCCCTCGGCGGGCCACGACGGGATGCTAATCCGGGCGACCGTGCGCCCCTGCCGCTGCTGAGCGGCAAGATGGGAATATTTCTTAGCTCGGGACTCAGAACTTATGGCATGCAGCCTCATGCACGCCGAGTAGAATGATGCCCACTTCCTGCCCTCGATCGCGGTGTTCTGACGCAGTTCACTCCTCCAGGCTTGGTCAAGCTCCACATACTGAAGTCGCAGCCCATCAGCTCTGCCAGCATATGATTGCCCACACCATCCTTGAATGTCATGGAACTCCAGAAGATAGGCTTCCACATGCCGAAACCAAACTTGACAGCCTTGCTGAAGGTCAGGAGGGTACTCCAACCCAATCTGCCACGGCCACTGATCCTCTCGAGCTTCGAGTGGTGCACAGCGCACAGGAGGAGGCTTCTCGATGGGAAACTTCTTAGGCGCCAGCATCCTAGGAACTTTGACCTGCACTCCTATGCCACTGAGCTTCAAAGCAACTGGCGCGTGGGTCTTTGCTGGAGCCTCTGGTACTAGGTAGACGGATTCCACAAACGGGGCCAGAACTCTGCTGCAGATGAAGAAGTCCAGCTCCCTCGCTCCGCAGGTGGGTTCTCCTGAGGCGATGATTTCACCCTGCACTAGCTTGACACACCTGTCTACGTCACTCGGCAACATGTTCCAATCCGCAGCCACTATCCAGGGAAACTGAAGCTTGCCAACTGCTTGAAACAACTTACCCAGGAGCTCGATGTTTTCTCCTGCGAGGCCAACACTGGCGTGTAAGTATACTGATGCTACCACCAAGGGAATAGAAAGACCAACCTTGATCATAGATGCCGCAATCCTGGAAGACGGCAGCTCCTTTCCACAACTCAAATCCAACTTGTCTGCTGGGAACTGACTGAGCACAGCGCACCCCG